GAAAGTAAGCTCAGTGTTATTAAGCACAATTAAAAACAAATAAACAAACAAAAAACAAATAAAAACCAACAGCCTCTTAAAAGTGTGGTTTTGAAATCTGAAAGCCTCATTTTTCCCTCAGTCAGTTTTCACAGACAAGTCTGGTCTTTTTCTTCCAGTTCTTCAATTTACAGTTAAAGTTTATCAGAATATTTTCTGAACTTTCAGCTCAGCTTCCATTTGTATTTTGACTTTATAATCTTAGGTGCAAAGTTAAAAACATATGCAAAGTTCCTTTGGCTAGAAGAGAGCCTCAGTCTAAAATTTGGTATGCATTTTTTTGATAAAAGTGCTGTCAGGTAGTAGTGGATAGACACTAGTATCCTAACATAGCAGAGAATGAGACCAGCCAACTTCAGATTCACATTAAAGTCTAATAAAAATGGAAAATACATTTTTTTTTTCTAGGTCTCAAAAGGAACTGTGAACAATTTGTTGCCCCTATCTCCCTAACTATACCCCATTGCCAAAGCAAGCTACTGGACAGAGTAAGCCTGGAAGGAAAAGACACAACACAGTTATTTGCTGATTTTTTTTATCATTTGCCTTTATCTAGCAGATGTGGTTCAAAATATGCTTTTTGTCTAGATTTTAATGAAATATAGCTCCGATGAGTAATGCTCTTTTGGTATGTTTGAATTAGAGACGTTCAACTATGTTTACCTCTTAAATTTGGCTTGCTTAATGTAACTATAGATTATGGAACTGTAAATTGTTTCAGCACTGCACTGCCTCACTCTTCACACACATACTTCATTTTTCAAATATGTATTTAAGGAGATGTATTATAACTTCTAATTAAGCATCTGTCTTTTAAATTGCAGTAAACCAACCTAGAACTTACAGGCCTAATGGCACTTAAAGCTCTAGTAAGAGCTAAGGAAGTAAGGTTACAGGATCTTGAGCACCCTCCTTTAGGAAGAGGTATAGGAAATCAATTATTACATAGAAGGTTAGAGAGATGATTAGAGAGATGGAACTCTCTCAAACTCTGTATCTCCCCCAAACTTGTAGCAGTCATAAAAAGTGAGCCCAATGTAGTCAAAAATAGAAGGGTTGTCTGTAGTCATTCCCTTCCCCCTCTCCTCCCCCCCTTTTTTTTTAATCCACTAGCCCTTGCAGGAGTTTAGCAACATGAAAGAGGCTTCACAGTACAACTCATCACAGCTCTGCAACAATGCTGTGTAAGAGATGTATAGCATAGCAGAGAATTTGAACATTTGAAACAAGTTAGAGATACCTACAAAATTCTTTCCATCTGCTGTGCACACCTATCCTATCTGTAACCAAATTTATACTTGGGTGCCTGAACAAAAGGAGCAGATCTAGGGATAACAAGGTGTGCAACCAATAATACTCATCAAGCAGTTATAAAGCATATCTGAGATCATATTAGGAAAGCAAGCTGGCAGGTTTATATCAGCACAGGATCAACCCCAGGACAAATATGGTACAGCTCAGATGCAAACCACAAGCAAGTGACAGCTTGCATGCCACACACCTGAGCCAAAGGGAATTTGTGACTGTGTGGAGGTCCTAGGTGAGGACTTAGGGCAATTAAAGCCTGCTGGTATACTCAGAGCCATGACAACACTATTTAAAGACATCAGTAGTACAAATTTATTTTTCAGGAAAGAAAGGATATAGTAGCGTAGTTTTCCCTGGTTTAGTTTTACGTGAGTGCTGAAACAGTTTTAGAGCAATATAGGAAGCAATGGTGATAGGTTTTTGCAATGTTAATGCATTTTTTAATGGAAGCAGACTTTAGAAAATAGTTTTGTTTTTTTTTAATAACTTTTTTTTTTTTCTAAGATATTGTACTCTTGAATAGATTTGAGCTTTCAACTCAAAGCCTTGTTTTATGGGGAAAGTGTGAAGTATGATCTATAATCATCAAAAGATGGTTCTAAACTGTGAGTAGTTTGAGGTAAAGATACGAGTCTTACTGGAAAAACTTTGCTGTTTTTAATTTCTATATGAACGACCATGGTATGTGATAAGCAGAAACAGATCCCTGCTGTGTGCAATTTTGTTTTGGGACAGCACAGAAGTATAAAGAGGACAGCAGAAGAGACTTGGAATAAGATGGTTGCAGACAGGTGGTAGTAGTGAAAAGACTATTCTGTCTTTCTTTCATGTTTGGGAACAAAGGTGCTATTTCTATAATATTTTACTTGTGGAAATGTCTCTATCAAGATTTTTATCTGAAGATACTTGTCTAAGTAACAGGCTGAGCATGTTACCAGATCTGAAAATACTAGGAAGTTATATTGGAGAGTAATCTCTTCCAAAGGTTCCCATGTGGATCCATAACCACATGGATCCATCTCAGGTCTATGTGGTTTATGATTAAAAGGGATGTGCTTAGTGTACACATCTCCACTGGCACAATTTCCTTGGGTTTTATATTTGAATCAGATTTAGTTATATACAATTTCATGTGAAATTCTGTCTTTCTGATTTTGATTGAGAGAGTATGGACATGTGTTCTGATGGTTTTAGCTCATATGAATGCTTTATTTGAAATGTTAGGAGTACGATTCTCAAAACTTCTTCTGGGACCTTGGGCATTTGAAGTTACAGAGGATCCTGTATTCCTTAGCAAGAAATTAAGATATGAGTTTTGCTTTGTGATTTTATTATTAAAAAATAAAAAATAAAAAATAAATTGATTTAGATGATTGTTGCTGTATCTTTCTCCATTCTTTCCCCTATTGCTTGTTTTTTTTTTTTTTTTTTTTTTTTTTTTTTTTTTTTGTGCCAAATCAACCTACTCATTTTCCTAAATAAATACTAAATAAATATAGCATTAAATATATTTTTTCTTTTAAATGAGGTCTCAGGGCAAATTCCTATCCATTGTAACAGTGCAAATCCTTGTTAGAAGCAGAATAAGCCTCAGGCTTTCACAATAGAAATCCCTTTGAAACAAGAAGCTTTACAGTAGTACTCTAAGGGATAAGGGATTTTCAGGAGTTCTCCATGCAGACGTATACTCTTTAAGTACATTGGGGAAAGGTGTAGTGTAATAAAGCTCTGATTTTTTATTTTTATTTTTTTTCCCTAGAATGTCCATGACAGAGTGTACATCTGCTTGACTTGTTCACAGTTACTGTTTTATATGTTGTGCTCTCTTAAATGGGTATGGTGAAGTGACAGCATGGTGTTTGGCCACTTGCATTGTGCTTGTTAGCATGCTTCCCAGTGGCAGAGCCCTCTGGAGAAAGGCTGAGGTTTCCCCTTCCCAGTGTCCTCCTTACAGGAGGACATTTGGTGTAGAGTCAGGCATACAGACAGCAAGAGATGCAGATTTAACCTCTAGTACAGCAGAGATCAGAAAATGCTGAGAAAGTTGAAACTGACAAGAACCCAGGCCTTGTGTAATAGAAAATATTTTTTCACAGTGACCAGAGGTGACTTTTATTGCAATTCAAAAAGCCATTAAAAAGAGTTTGGACTGAGACCAAGATTAAATGAAAAACATTGCATCTGCAAAGATATGGGGGAATTCATGTTTTTTTTTGTTTTTTTCCACTTCAGAAAGTATTAGTCTTGTTTATGCTCAAAAATTATGCTTTTTAAATTATTATTATTATTTTTATTTTTTTAAAGTTTCCTCTTGGTGTTTTTGTTATACTTTTAAGAAGAAATTTTCTAGTCAGTCTCACATCCAGGTCTTGGCAGTTTTGTGATCCACTGACCATGTAAGTCCCATTCTGGACTTGTAGATTCATTTTAACTGATAAGCATCTTTATTTTGCTAGAAAATGTTGGAAACATCACAGTTGTACAGGATCAAATTGACTTGGAATTCAATCAGGTAAAATAAATCTCCATTTCATAATATCTGTTCAGTTACTATTCTTCACAGGGACAGACATTCCCAACTTCTTAGGTACCACAGTTTTTCTTTTCTTATCTTGGGGTATTGATTAGCTTGACTTGCCCTAACTTTATGAATGTTCTGGAATCATATTGAATACTGTAGATATAAGAATTTGAATACTTCTGGGCTAGCTGTTGTCACACAATAGGGATTTACTAGGGGACATTTGTATGAAAATAATTAATAATAATAATAATAAACAGAAAAACAAACAAACAAACAAAAACACTTGACTGTTTGGGATTTTTTGGATATAGGAGTTCCATATTTACAAAAATAGATCTTATGTTAGCATCTGAAGGTATTCCTTGAAATTGCTGGGAGTCATAGATTGAATACATGACTTGAAGGAAAAAAACATATATATTTTAAGCACCAACTTGACATAAAAAGTTTTAACATTGGAAATGAAACAGGTTTATCAGCCTGAAGTAGGCTATCAGAAGCAGGACAGCTTCTTATTTTACTTTTTTTTTTTATTCTTTCTTTTCCTTTCTATTTCCTTGGCATACTGTACACATTTTTACTTAGCACCTCAGCTTTTTTTTTTTTTTTGACAATATTCTACAATTTCCTGTTTATGGATTGCATGGGAATTATGCAAAATTCTCTCTTTATGTTCAAGATATGTTGTATCACAGGTGCTGTGCTTGCAGAACTTGCAATATCATCTGTTCACAATGTAATTTGTCTTACTGCACAGAAAAACAGAAATCTGTATTCTGTATTTTCATTTGTTTCATACTTATAGGGGATGCTAACCAATTGTAGTCATACAATAAGGTGTAAAGTAACACCCATAGATGCATGCTAAATGATGTGACTTGTTTCTTTCACCAAATTATATTTGAAAATATATAAATTAATGTTATTGTTATGAAATGTGGTGTGGGAGGACTTATTTAACAGCCTAGCAGCTCCCTAACTCTTACATATGAGGTAAGAAAAAATGTCTTTATGGATGATTAAATGAAAGACATGTTTTTGGATTCAAAACAGTATAATATTATGCTGGTTATTAAAGTCAACTGCTGTTTTCCTCCTTTTTTATTTACTTATTTTTTTTTTTTGACAGAGTTGAAGAGGAAAAACTCTTGACAAGTACTGATCTTATAGGATGAAATAGTATGACGCTTTGCAGTAATAAATGCTGAGATCATGTCCATGTACGTACAGCAAGTAGATTTGTTTCTTCTGGTTTTAGATATCCAAAATGAAAAGTCTGGAAGTACTATAGTTACTTTTATAGTCAACAGAGAGAAATAGACACTTTTTAGAAGGAGTTCCAGAAAGTCTATTTTCAAATAATTTGCCTTCCATGAAGACTAACACATGAAGTGTGTTTTGGGAACAGGATGCCTACCCCAGTTGGAAATGTGAATAGGATAGAATCATTGAAAGGGACTTATGTAAGGGACTTTCAGTGAGCTCCCTTTTCAACATAGAAGCTAACAAGGTAATATCAAATTGCTCAGAGCCCTGTCCAGTCAAATTCTGAAAATCTCCAGGAATGGCGAATCCACAACCTCTAAGGGTAACTTAATCTTTAACCACAACCCCCCACTTAGAATTTCTGTTCTTGTAACTTTTATGTTGCCTGACTCTTAGACACTGGACCTCTCCTCAGTAACAAGTCTTTATCGTATTTGTCCTGTGCTACTTCCACTCATGATGTCTGTCAACAGCATAGACATTTCAAGAGGTGTCCTGGCTTCTAATTTGGTGCAGTCAAAGCATTATTCTATTTCCCTATGGCCCTTCAGGAATTTGTTAGCTTTTATGTTTCCATTAGTGGGAACTGTGAAGTTCTCTCTTTGTCTGCATTTTTCCAAGTGGATATCCAGCTGTATGAGGACTACCCATGATGTCCAATAATGCACTTAAAATGTATTGTCTATACTGTGTTGGAGTGTAAAATAATGTTAGTATTAGTATAGTTCCACTTTTATGTTCCAGATGATTGTTTTGAAGACTTCTGTTTAAACCTGTATCAGTTATAAAGTTGACATAGCAACTAACTCAAAGGTAGAATGCCGAAGAATCTGATTGCATTGTTTAGTTATGCTTCAGCAATAAGATGCATATAGAGTAAGCTGGAATATCCTTTATTATTACTATTTTGGTCCAAACAATGAACCGTTTCTTGGAAATATAACCCATTATTCCCCCTTCGTGTGTCCCCCCACCCCCCGCCCCCATTCTCCTCCTTGATTTTGTTTCTAAACAATCTTAATTATAAGATAAATATTTAAATGGAGAGAAATTGGGTAGACCTGTGCGGTGTCAAGAGTTGGACTTGATGATCCTTAAGGGTCCCTTCCAACTCAGGATATTCTATGATTCTATGATTCTATGATAAATTAATTATAAGCCAAATAATACAAGGATACTTGTGCTTGTAAGTTTCACTGTGCTGTTTTCTTTTTCTGTCTTTCAGGTTTGATTCAGTAATGGTTGTCAGGTGCAGGCTGTAATTGCACTACTGCTCACAGGCAAGAGTTCTGAAGCCAGATGACAAAAAGGGTTTGTGAATGTTGGACATGAAATTTCACTCAATGCATAAGATCCCTTTTCAAAGTTGATAGTCCACTGAGTTGGTAATTTAATACTATTTATTTATTATTAGCAAAATTGCCGATCTTACAAACAGTTCTCAGATTTACTGAATATTATATTCAGAGCTTTAGCTAAATCTTTTGTTTTCTTGTTTCATTACCTGACATTTATCTCTGATCACTCCAGATGAGTTTTCAGATCATTATCCATGACAGTGGCATTTCTGTGATGACCTTAATGAAAATGTACTCTATTATCTAGGGTGACTAAAGTGGTTGTTTACTTTTGTATTTAAAATCTTCCTATAGTTACTCTATATAGGAATCTTAGTTTTCTGCTGGCATCAGATCAAAACTCTCAAAGCTGTGTATTTGTTATGTTACTATTCTCATGACCAGAATCAGGAGAAAATGATCACTTACCAAGCATGACAATTACTGAAACTGTTTGGTTTTAGACAGTTTATCAAACCTTTGTTTTACAGCATCTGGAAAAAATATTGTTAGTAAGCCTGAAGAATATTCACATGGACAAATATTTGTCCTAGGTATAGGATATGGAAGTTGTGTGAAGTTAAAATATTTATATTCTATGCCATCCATTTTCTCGAATTGTGTTGCTGTGTGACTGATTCTATACTTCCCTTATTTTTCTACTCTTTATTATTTTAATCTATTAATCTGAATAAAATAAAGTGAAATAAATATTACATACTTGATTATAATGCAGTTTAAATATTACATACTTGATTATAATGCAGTTGTGATGAGTTGGCCCTCACGTTCAGATGGTACTAAAAGTTTACAAATGACATTTCCTGATAGAAATGAGCACCAGCTGTATAGTTTGGACATGGATTTCAAGGCACAAAGATGTTCAAATCTATGGGTTTAGTCTTCTGGTCTATCATCACTCTATATTTAGAGAAGTATTTTAGAGATGCCTCTCTAAAGCATGTTTTCCCTTTCGTAAATTGCATCCTATTTCTGTCCCCCTATATCCCCCTCATTCTGTACAATTAACTATATTTCAATCTAGCTGTATGATGCATTCTGTTCTGAACAGGGACCATCATTTATTACAGTCATTTTCTGCAGAGTCTGTAAATTAGATAATTATTCTTACTAATCTTTCCAAAGGAAAGAGTCAAGTCAGGTTTTGCTCAGCAATTTAAGCATTGCAAGTAATTCAACAGTGTCCAAATAATTATCTCTCTCTAGTGTTCTGAGGCAATAGAACAATAGCTAAAAGCAACAGTGAACTTCTTTTCCCAGAAAAGGCATTACACAGAGATGCAGTTTAAAATCTTGTGCTACTCTCCTGCTAGGTTTCACAAGCTAAGTAGGCTCTGGGCACAATGGAAAGGAGGGACATTGCTAACCCAGGGCCCCAACTCTGTGAAAGAGTTTTGGAGTCGTGAATTGAGACCTGGCATTGGCTTTAACTATTAGAAATCAGAAAACTAGTTTATGCTTTTTCAACTGAATTGTTGCTGGAAATCCCGTACTGTAGATGAGAAAACATCATTTATAAACAGCAGTTATTTCTAAATCTGATGTAAATCTTTATTTCAGGGTTAATCATTGCTGTTTTCTAACCTTTCTGTTTTCTGGGTCAGTATCTCCATGCATGGAGTTCTAGTTAATTTTCTCTTTAGGTGACTCCCTCATGGAAAAACAAATAAATAAATAAATATGTATATAGATATATATATACTACTTCTGTAAGGAAAAAATAATAATTTCCAGATGCTTTTCTCTTTTTTTTTTTTTTTTTTAATTGTAATTTCTATTTTTTTTTTTTTTCCCAGTGACACTATTACCATTTCAGTGGCTCTCAAACTAAACATGATTTCAGATTTCATTTCCCAATGCCTTTGGCTACAAAAGATCTACTGCAAAGTAGTCCATGTCTTTCTAACATCTCACTAAATTAATTAAGTATATCAGGGTCTGCTTAGGACTGTGAAAGTGTATTATGTGATATAAATTTAGAATGGTTGTTTAGAGGTAGAGCTACTTTCTGGAAGTATTCAGCTATTCATTATTCCTAAGCACCTTCCTCCCAGAAACTTTTCACCATGGTGGTCTCAGATGAGAAATGAAGCCTTGACAAGAAATCTGACTTCATTGTGGTCCCATCAAGTCATGTCTAAAAACAAGACGGAAGTTCAGAGATTAATGCCATCACTTCTGATGGAAAATTCTTAGTCTTTTGGAAATTCAAAACAGTACTTTCTAACTCTGCTACTTGATATCTCAGGAAACAACCTCAGGGCTGTAGGATGGTAGGTATAATCTGGCATACTTACATTTCTGAAACCACCTATGTGATAAAAAAAATAAAATACAGTGGTGGGGATAAGCCAAGTAAGACTGCTAAGCTCCAAACTGACAGAAATTTCTGTATGTTAATGAAAACAACAATGAACTTTTCTATCACCTTGCTATTATGTAGTTCCAAGCTGAGGTAAACAAACAAGCACCTCGGATGATAGAGATAGATATCACAAAGCTTATGCATAGTAATATTTTTTTCTGCAAATAGTAGAGAACAGATATCAGAATAATGCATCAATAGTGCATTCAATATATTTTTGGTACAGACTGTAATAAAAAGCTCTCTTAGATACAACATGGCAACATGGAATTTTTACTGTGTCTCTGAGTTCTGATTGGAAGGCTCCAGGATGAGAATAAGGTATATTCCCAGAAAATGTAGTTTTCTTATGACATTCAGTGGAAAGAAAAAAGAAGTATAAAGCAGAAAGAAGAAATGTACGCTGCATGTGTAAGTCCACATGTTGCCCTGTAAACAGAAGATGATGCAACATGATCTCTGAACTATTTGACTACTGTGGGGGAATCAGAGCTTGGTTTGCCTCCCAATTTACTTTTAGTACTAGTATGAAATTATGTATGAAATTGTGTAAGTATGAAAACTAGTATGGATTACATGACTATAGTTGTCTTTACTGGCCATGATCTTTTAAGAAAATATGAGAATGCAGCAAACGTTAACAACTCTTGATCTTTCTGCTAAATTACTTTTCCCTCGTGTATGAAATGCCATCTATGGTTTGCTAATTCAGGTAATTCAAACAAACATGATTTAGAAGATTTTATACATAAGATTTTACAAAGTCTTTTTTTGGCCTGAGAGGATATTATACTATTTATGAGTCAAAGTAGACTACATTTAATTGTCACTGAGTCTGTGATTTATTTGGCAGGATTACTGGATTTTACTGATTTATATGTTTATTTTGTTGCTGTCATACAGTGCCCTTTACTTAGTGATGGACTAATACATTTGTTTTTGTTTGCTTGTTTTTTTTCTCATTAGTAAACAGCTCCAGATTCTCTTAATTTGCTTAAGCCATATGCTATCCAGAGGTTTTGGCCATTCATCTAAGAAGATGAGAGGCATAATGCACAATGTACTATGCAGAGCTTACTTTGTGTTGTCCCAGGTGTATCAAGTATACCAGAGACCTTTTCTTTTTTCTTCTTACTTTATAATTAGTACTATTAATTTTTATTTATACATCATTGCTACAAGTCTATCAGCAACTGAATCAGAAGTTGCTTAGAAGAAATGTAGGAGTGAGGAAGCCTATGATTTATTTTAACTCCTCATTGATCACTGCAAAACTTATGATACCAGATATCTTTCTCTTTTTTTTTTTTTTTTTTTAAATCTCCAGCTCTTCCACGATTAAATGCATTCAAAATATACATCCTTCTAGAAAAGCCTCATCTATTTAGTAAGAGTAAAACAATAAAGTTTTACAGATACGTAGAGCAACATAAATTATAAAAATGGAAATACCAAGTTCCATAGGAATGACTCTAAAAAAAAACTATAGAATTTAATAGATAGTGAGAGTCTTTCTAAAATTGCTTTTTTAACCATCCTATAAATTGTTAAAATGAGGATCTCATTCTCCACTAAACTCCTTAAGGAGGCTCTGAGAATCTCTAATTCTCTATTCAGTTTCAAAGGGGAGATCCAATTTTGTAGTCTTTCTCACATGATTAGATACATTGATATCAGTGGGTTTGTTCAAAAAAAAATACTGTACATCACGCCACATTATAGGAAATTTTTGCAATATAAGACATTATTTTAATGTATAGTGCCAACCATTCACGCTGCAGGTTTTAATATTGATAGGGCAAAATCTATAAGTTGTTTCTGGTGGATGGCTAACACACTAGCCTGTACAGCTGAGTTTGTGTCCAGCATAAAGGAAATAGGTGTAAAGCTGACCAAATTACTTCACCACTGAAGCAAAAAGGAGTCTCAGGAAGCAGTAAGTCACCCTCTACCTCTCCAGTTATTCACTAAACTGCTGGATATATTTACACCTGTAAACTTCAAAACGCTACATATGCCTCCTTGCTCATATGTAATCAACTAAAAGGAGGATGATTGATCTAAGACAGTTTTCTAAGTACCTTCTGTGATAAAGAGATAAAGAGTGGGTGAAGAGATGAGAAGGAGAGAGAGAGCTCCCTGTGGTGGTTTGTGATATATTTTATTTTTCCTGAAAATAGGTGTCTAAACTTTTGAACTTTTATTTATTTATTTTTATTATTGTTTTTTTTTTTTTTTTTTTTTTTTTCAGGAGAAGCTGATTCATCTTACTCATCTTCCTTTTCGTGACAGCAAGCCTATTTTGAGCACTGTTACCTATATGTTATGGAAAGATGATAAAATTGTTGTCCAGGCATTCATCACAGTCATGTCTGAGAGTTTATCAGGCAAAATCTAGGCACACGGTAGAAGAGGTAATTCTCCATACTGGAGTAACCTTATCTCATCCTGTAGAAGTGAGAATGATGGTTAGACTGGGGTTGAGTAACCTTATCTCATCCTGTAGAAGTGAGAATGATGGTTAGACTGGGGTTCTGCCTCAAGCCAACAGGTAAGAACATGCACAATTATAATCATTCCTATTCATAATGGTGGGACAAAAAGACTAGATTGTCCTCACTATGCAGGATTTCCAATAAAAAACATGAAACAAGGAAAAAAAAAAAAAAAAGGTTCTAGCCAGTTGCCTTCCTTGTGAAGTTCACTATTGGGACTTTACTTTAGGCTTGTTAGGGAATAACTAAATGTAAGCCTTTGCTTTTTCATTTTGAACTATGCTCTGTTTTGAATCTGCTCAGGCCATGACAAGTGCCCAAGTGTCTAAAATGCATTTCCTGAGATTAAGGTCTTCCTGCCTTCTTGTTTGAATCTTATTTGTGAAGATGCTCCCCCCATACACACACCAAAATCTGCTCCAAATCCTTTATGCATCTGGGCTGTATTGCAGTTAAGCTTCCCTTCAAAATAAGAAGTAAAGTTAACACAGAGACTATACTTGTGTTCTCTTTCCAGTTGGATAACTTTCTTCTTCATCTAAGCTGTAATACAGTTTCACAAACTACACATGAGATTTTAAAGCACTTGTGGACTCTCTCTCTTGCTTTCTTTTTTGTCTCTGTCAAAATAGTACTCCTGAAAGCCATATGTTTTACAGAAGGTGAAAGAAAGAAAACAAGGATAACCAGCAATCTGTGTGTTCCAACACAAAGAATAGAAATTACTTTGAGATTACATTGTAATTTCAGGCTCAGAAAATGAAATCGGTTTCATCCAGGAATAAAGGGGGAAGAAAATGGGAAAGAAAAAACTGCTATTAAAAAATGTTTTCTT